ATGAACAACTCCAATTTTTAAAAGTAAATATTACTGAATTTCCTGAAATTGCACAAGAAAATAACGTTAGAAGTGTTCCAACATTTGTAAGTTATGTAAACGGAGTTTCAACCAAAAGATTTACAGGAGTATATAGAGATGAAGTAGAGAGAATGATTACAAAAAATTTAAAGATGTTAAATGAATAATGTTTTATAAAACGTTTTATTAATAAAATAGGATAATTTTATTATATAAAATAATAATAAAATTATTATATGAGTTAATATAAAAAAGTGGAATAAAAAAACATTTAAATTACGAAGAATATAATTAAAAAGTGAATTTCTATCAAAAATAATTTAAATATTTATTTTCGATAAATTTAAAAAAAAATAGAGAAAGAAGTTAAATCAAAGAAATAAATAAAATAAAGGAGAGTGTTGAATATTTTCTAATAATGAAGAAATAATAACAAATACAAAACAATCGAAAGTTTAATACAATCTTTTTTTATCTATAATTAATAATTCAAAAATTTATTAAAAATGCTAAAATATTAAAAATTCAGGTCATCTTTTTATCATTCAGAATTTGTTTATTAAGTAAAAACAACTTCCAAATGAGTCAGTCTAATGAACCCAAACAAGAAAGTAGTTTTAGAAAAACACGAAATGTACAAGCAAATCAACAATCAGTATTTCTTGCACTTATTAACAAATATTTTACAATTACGTTAATATCACCAAAAAAAAGATCAACAGTAGCACAACAAATGGTTACAATTCAAAATATTCAATACAAAGATGATATAGTTGAAGTAGAAGAATTTATTATAAGAAGATTAAAAGAAATTAATATAAGAGATATTTCAAATGGTATTAGTTCAAAAACAGCATCAAGACGTTGGGAAAATAATAAAATAGCAGAGATTAATAATTTATTAATAGATATATTAAAAGAATTAGGATATTCTTTTAATTCTAAATTAACTAACGGAAAGTCTACTACTGTTAAAAATGAAATCGTTTCTTCTATTCTCTTTAATGGTAAATTAATATTAACTTCTGAACAAATTAATACTCATGGAAAATCTCTTAATAACTCTTTAAACTCTCTTTTCATAAATAATAAAGTTATTACTTTAGACAGAAATGATCCATTTTTTAATGAATTTTTCGCTTTAACTTAAGTTTGTATGATATTTTTATTTCTAACCAATTTTTTATTCTTTTTTATCTTCTTTTGTCGTTTACTTTCTTCTTCTCATTATAAAAACATGATTTTTTTTGAAGTTTGTTTTTATTTATTTCTCAACTCATTCTTCTTCTTTTCTCTTTCATTTTTTTGTTTTATATAACGTATTGTAATACTATGATTTTTCCTTTTTGTTTATTAAGTTAAAAAATTAACATAAAGATTGTATCAAAAATAATAAAAAGAACTACTCTCATTAAATAAATATTAATGTTATGTTACTATTCTTTTCTCTCACTTTTCTTTTTTCTATGAAGTATTTTCTCATGAAAACATGAGTTTGTTTTATGATAATTTATTTATCCCTTTTTTTTTAAATTGTTTATATTTCGTAATCACTATTTAATTTTTATTATTGTCAAAGAAAAATAATTAATTTTTTTATTAAATAATAATTTTATTATTCATTAAATCATTTTTTTTAATTTGATGTTATTATAAAGTATTTCTATTTATATTTATACATTTTTTATTCATTAAAACAAAAATGATTATTATTATTCTTGCTGAAGAATATTTTTTGTAAGTATTATAAATAGTAGAAGTTATGCATTAAATATATAAATATGACAGATAAATGTTAGTTGATTACTCTCATTTATTTCTTTATTTGACAAAAATAAATTTAATAAATCAATTAAATTACGTTGATTTCACTATTTATTTTTTCAGTCAAAATATATATTTACTCTAACAAAAATTTATAAACATCTTTTAGGATTAATTAATAAAAAAAGAATAAGTATTAAAATTAAATAGAAAGTATTTAATAATCATTCAAATAATTATTTTTAATTATTAATCAATACAACTAATAAATATTTGATTGAATAAGATGAATAAGAAAATTATTCTTAGAATCAGAATATATACAACTATTATGATATTATTCAACTTATAGAATAATGGCGTTTAAAATAAATTTTTTTAATAACCGTAATAATGAAGTAATAATAATAATGTTATTACAATTAATTACTTTAAATTAAAAGTATTAATTAATCATTATATTACAAAATAGTAGTAAAATTTCATTAATAGAAATTTAATTTATTAATAGTCATTTCTTAAAATAAATAAGAAGAAGAGTACTTTTAAAAGTAATACAAAGACATACAAACAATTGATGAAGAATAAATATTTTTTGTTTATTTAGGAATGAATGATAGAATGTAATAATGAAGAGTATTTGTATTCTTTTTATAATACCTAATTTACATATATAATTAATATTTCTTATATAAAGAAGTTTATTAAATAAAACGAAGGTATTTAATAATTTTAATGTTTTAAAATAATAGTAATATAATTATTTGAATTTTTTAAAATGTTTTACAATTTGTTCCTCCAATTATTCTTGTTCTTAAAAACATTTGTAAATCTTGTGGTGTTTCAAATTCGATCATTAATTCTTTCATTTTATTTTCATATGAATATGACTGTATACCTCCAATTTCAATTGCTTCTTGAATATACCTAATACCTTCTTTTGGTCTTTTTAATAAAATAGATATATTTTGATGATGTTTTACGTCTTTTGTATCAAATACTTCATCTTCACTTGATTCAGGTAATAATGATCCACTAACTTCTTTATTTTGTGTTGTATCTTTACTTCCTTTTTTTTCATCAAATACTCTTAATTCATTTGTTCCAAATCCAGGTAAGTCATCTAATGAAAATACTTTTTTCTTTTCTTCTTCAAATGTTCTACTAGATAATCTATTATAATAATTTCCTATTTTATTTCTTTCAGATGTATCTTCTAAATACAATGATTTAAGTTGTGTTTCTGTTGAGTGCCTAGAATGAGATCTTTTTCTTTTTGTTTCTTCTAGACTTTTCTTTCTTATTTGTTCTTCTATTCGTTTTTTTTCGGGTTCTTGTTTTCTTTTCATCTCATCATATCGTTGTTGAGCTCTTTCTTTAACTTCTATTAATATACTTTTATCAAATAATGATGTCTCATTTTCATTTGAATTAACAATTCCTTTAATTTTATTACAAGTATCATAAATCTCATTAATTAAAAGAACTTGTTTTTTAGAAAAGTATTTTGGAGTATCAACACATAATCCAATAATTTTAATAAATGAATCAAGATGATATTGAGTTCTTATTGTAACAAATAATTCTTCAAATAATGAAATAAAAGTTTCATGTTGAACTTTTTCAGGTGTATTAAAAATATATAATATTTCATAGATATTATCATAATGATTTGTTTTAGCAAGAATATATTGTATTACAGAAAATGCATATAAATAATATGGTGTTTTTATTTTCTTTATCCATTCACAAATATTTCTAAATCCAAATCCATTAATATATTCAACACAATATTCTTCTTTTTCTTGATCATTCATACTACTTAAATCAACTTCTTGAATCATATTCCAAAACCGTTCTTCTTTTGCTGTAATTTTCTTAAATTCAATTTGAGATAAATGAGTTGATTGTTTCTTGAGAAATCGTAATATCATTACAACTTCATTCATTTGGTATTTGTTTGCTACTGAAACTGTCCCATTGTCAATATCATCTATTATCTTTGATAAAACATATTCATCACTCACTCTATAAAATACAACTATTGCTATAATCGAATGCATTTTCTATTCTTTCAATATTCATTTCTTTTTTCGCATTGAAACCCAACAAACATTTATTTCATTTGTTGTTAACCCAGTTCCTTTACATCCATCCTTAAATTCTTGTAATTTCATCTAAATAATAAATGATTTATTCTTTTATTTCATACTAATCTAACAAATTAGGTCTATCACAAACAAATATATATTCATTAATTCGTTCTGTTGAATTCGAGGCTCTCTTCATCATTTCTTTTAATCTGAAAAAAGGGGTTTTATATTAATAACAAAAAAAATTAAAGAATAAAAAAAATTGAAAAAAGATAAAGAAAATACTTAGAATGATTTCAAAATGAAGAGAAACAATTATTAATTATCTGGAGATTTTTTAGATTGAGAACTTGAACGTGGAGACAAGATAGATCTAGGAGATATAGGTATCCGTGGAAACAAAACACTTCCATTTAAAGTTCGAGAAGAGCCTGTATCAAATGTTGAACCTCTTACACTTTTTATTTTAAGTTCAGAAACTGTCATCCGACTAACCTTTCTTGGACTAGCTAATTCTGAACTGAAAGTATCTTGTTCCGAAGAGTTATCAGGACTACAAGTAATTTCATGGTGTATTTCTTGCAAAGTCTGAATAGGAATAATTGGTGGATTAATTCCCATTCCATGTCTTTGGTCAACTTTTGGATCAGGAATACGTATTTCAGGTGGTAAAGCTTGATCTAAAGATACTGTTTGTGGTACACCCAATCGTTTAAAAGGATTTGGAAGACAATAATAAGGTAAAGTACAATTCAAATAATGTTGAATTTTGTCTTTATCACTTCCAAATATCATTGCATTATCAGCAACTTCTTCAACTTTTATTGTTTTATTTCGAGCTTCTTCTGGAGTGAGGTGTGTTCTTTTTAAATATTTATTAAAATGTTTTGTGACTTGGTTTTGAATACAACCAAAACATTGTTTACATATTTCATCATCTATGAACACTAATGAAAATAGATTTCCATTATTATTAAAAGTAATAGTATAGCTCTCTAATTGAAGAGTACACAATGGATCAATTTCTCTAAAAATAAATAGTAATGGCCTTAATGAATCTTTAATTGCAATGGCAATTCGTTGTTGTACTAACGTTTTTAGAAATACAAAATTTCCACAAACACCAACAAATTCTAGTTGTTGAGTTGATGGGTTATAATCATATAAAGATATTTCTTCACTACAACAATAAAACATCCAATCTTCAGACAAATATCCATTAAAAGTTTGTGTAATAGTTTCACTACACTCAATAGCCATAGTTTAAAAATAATAGAATTTCTTTCTGTTAGATTTTTTAAATTTTTTTTTCAAGAAGAAAAGGTAGAAAAAAACGAAAGAATTATAAGTGATAATAAAAAAGTAAATTTTTGTATTTCAAAGAAGAGAAATCATTTTAACAACAACCACCTTCACTCTTTTGTGCTGGTTGTGAGCCACTTTTACCACCTAATTGAACAACACTAGGATCTTCCTTCTTTCCAGGAGCACAACCAACTTTAGAAATAATAGCTTGAGTAAGTGCATTGAAAACTTCATCAATCCCAGATCCATCTTTAGCAGAGCAAGTGAAGGTTTGAACACCACCTAATTGTCTGGCTAATTGTTCAACAGCTTCTTGCTTAACAGCTGCATGATCCATAAGATCAGTCTTATTTCCTACTAAAATAATAACTGGTGGATCATTTTCAGTACGATCACGAACTTCAGTGAACCATGATGATACTTTATCAAAAGAAGCACGATCAGTAACGTCATAAACAATCAATACTCCTTGAGTACCTCTATAATAACTTGCTGTAATATTTCTAAATCTATCTTGTCCAGCAGTATCCCATAACTGCATTTTGACAGTTTTATTTCCTACTTTAATTACTTTTGGTTTAAAGTCAACTCCAACAGTTGAAATATATACTGGCTCAAATGTATTCTCACAGAATCTTTGCATAATAGCAGTTTTTCCTACACCAGATTCCCCAATGATTAAAATCTTGAAAAGATGATCGTAATTACCTCTTGACATTGATAATCTGATTTTTTAGTTGTATTAGTTTCTTTTTCTTCTTTTTTATTCTCCTCTTTTTTTTTATTTATTTATTTTTTTTCCCCCTCTTATCCTTTTCTTTAATCCTTTTTTCCATATTTTCAATTCACATTTTATGTGAACACGTACTATTATTTCTCATTTTTTCTTTCTTCTTTTTTGCTTTTAGGACAGAAATGTCTTTTCATTAAAGATCTCCAAATGACATTAATCTATTATATAATTTTAAGTTTTTTTTGGTTGTTTCATATTAATTTTTATTTACTACAGTTTGCACAAAAACAATAAAATACGACCAAAAAATGCGTGATTAAAGGTTGAGAGGATGACAAGTTCCTTTACAAAATACACAACTTTCTCCTTGTGAAAAGATAGCCCCACACTTTTCGCATTTCACTGGATTTTCACCAGCTGGAGTGAAAGATATACAATCAAAAATTCTTTCTTTTCCACAATCACATTGGTTTCTAATTAATGAAACTTCTTTTTTACAATGACAACAAATACCATTAAGTGGTTGACGAGATGAATTTACTTCTTCTGAAATCCCACTAAATATTCGTAAATTCTCTGGGAGTTGAATATTCTCTTTAATAAAAATATTTTTTGCTATTCGTAAAATAACTCTTCTGTGAGGAGGGAGTAATGGTAAACAAATTAAAATACTAGCTAAATAAACATCAATCGTTCCTGGTGCAGATGTGATTCTATGAATAATATTACAAGCAAGTTGGTAAGATAAACATAATTGTATTTCTTTTTTCTTTTCTGTTGTTGCTGCATAACCAAAGAAATATTGTACAGCCTTATTGTAATCAGCTAATTCAAACGCATCAATACCTTTTTCAAAATCATTTTTAGCTGTAAGAGAAGATCTAGTCCTTGATGGTGGAAGTGTAGAAATACGTGATGTGTTACTTTTCCTTAAAGTAGGAGCGTCATTTAATACAATACTAATTTTTCTTTTAGGTATTTCAGTAGTGGAAGGATCCATTTCTAATTGATCATCTTTTTCATCATCATCACTAAAATCAAATTCTTTGTTTTTTTCAAAAGATAGATTAAATGTTGAGTTTGTATTGTCAATAACTTGTGGTGTTTTTGAAACCTTTTTGCTTTTCTTTTCAGACATTGTATTTTTTTTTTAGATTACATCTTTTTAAAGATTCAGTATTTTAAATTATTTTTGAATTGTAAAAAATAAAACAGCACTTGAAGATAAATTACCTAAATATACTTTCCAGTGAGTTCTGGTAATTCAAAGCAATACTCAAAAGATGTACTAAAATCCAAATCAACAAAAAGGTGTTGGTGTTCTATTTGCCTATCACAAAATTCTCTAATTGATTTAACAAGTGATGTAATCTTATTTTCAAAATCTTCAATCATCATCTTGTCAACTTTTCGTGCTAAATCATATCCATTATTAAACTCTTTAACCACCCTTTTTAGTACAGGCCTTGCAACTGGTTTTGGAATTTTAGGAGAAATAGTAATTATTGAATCTACACTAAATTGGGTATTTCCTTTTTCATCACCACTCCAAACTGCATTTTCTAACATATGGTATGTTTTAGCATCTAATCTATTCCATGATGACTCTTTCATAATTTGATGAGGAATATCAATAACTAAATTCTGATAAATATAACAATGATCAACTTTAGAAATTTTTTGTAAAACCTTAGGAACAGGAACGAACATAGTACATCTTTTTTCACAGTAAAACAAACCATCTTCTACTTTCCATCTAATAAGACTAATTTCATGATTTAAAAGCATTGGAAAAAGTGGGGTAGTTGGATACCTTTGAAGATAAACACTAGAGACTAAGTCCCAGGAATATGAATAACATGTTTGTTTCATCATTTTTTCTTTCATTTTTAATTATCAATGACAGACAATCCTTATAGTTAACATTTTCTGCTTAAATCTTTTTGTCTTTTCACTTGAATTAAAAGATAAATCTTATTTTTCAAATTGTTTCAAATCCAAAAAGTCAAAGACTATTATATTTATAAAAATATTCTAGTTTTACATCCACAGATTTTAAGAAAAATCTCGTCATCAAATCCTCAAAACAAATAGAACTAAAAAAGAATTAATAAGATTAAGGACTTGAAATGGAAGTTCAATTAAAGATGATAAAAAGAATCATCTAAAAATATAAGAACCGATGGAAAGTTATAAAAAAATTCAAGAAAAACTGAAAAAAGTTGTTAAACTAAAAAAAAAGACAAGAAGAAAAAACAGAATGAAAACGGAGTCAATCAAGATTGATAAACCGATTTATCAAGTACTACTCCAAAACGAACCTATTTTAGAACATATTGAAGAGAAACTTGGATTGTCAAGAGGATCACTCAAATTTGAAAAGAAACAGTTTATAACATGTAAAAGCAATCCCGAAAAACTTAAACTTGTTGGTCCTCATCTTAAAAATGAATTTAAAAATTATGTTTATTTTACTTCTAAAGTTGAGTGTATTGGAGATGCAAATATTCAACAATTAGTTACTCATTATTTAGCAATTCAATTCAGACATCCATCAACGAATGATCTACATTTTTGTTTAACAAATGAAAATAAAAATCAGAGTGAATTTGTTATATATGGCAAAAAACAACATTCAATTGAAATTATAAAACCAATGATTAATAAAGAGACTGTCAATGGATTTGAAGAATATTCAGAACTTCTTAACATGCCTTCATTAGTTAAGAAAAATTATTTTGAAATATATAATATGATTGATCAATTACATTTAACCACAATTCCTAATGACTTTAAAGATGATGACGCTCCAATTGTTTATGGATTTAGACCATATATGAAAGAATTTATTAGAAAGATAGATCAAATGGAAAACCAAATGTTTACAATTATTAAAATAAAAACAAACAAACCAATTGATATTATTAATAAAGCTTTCTTTGATGAAAAATTTCATCTTATGATTACAAATGTTCTAAGAACACCTCCTGGATATCGTTGTGTTTTTTCTCAATCTGGGAAATTATTTACTTGTGAATTACATGTAGAAAAAGAATTTGCTTCAAATTTAGTTATTCTTTTAACAGGATTTTTTGATTCAATAGAAACATTAATACTAAAAGACAATATGAGTGATGATGACATGACAAAATACTCACAATATATTAAAGATCACACTACTCCTTTTAATGCATTAATTACAAGAAAAAAAAATAAAAAAAGTGGTGAATCTCAGTTAATTGGTTGCGTAGCAACCAATAGAGATATCAATCCAGAAATTAATGACAGTTGGCAGAATCAACTTATCAGTTATATTAAAGCAGTTGATTTACCTCCTGAATTAGCTCCATTACCTCCACTTCCACCTAAAGTTCATGGTAAAAGAAAAAAGGCATTACCACCAATTCCTACTGATGTTCCTTCTCAAGAACAACCAACTCAATCTTCTACTGAAGAACTTATTCCTCCTCCTGTTCCTGCTCCAAGAAAAAGTAAACAACCAAGATTATCTGCTAATTTAACTAATGAAGATGTTCCTGATCGTTCAAACAGAGATAGGTCAATGACTGTATTTGGTGATCAACCTACTCACATTATAGAAGAAGAAGAGCCTTATTATGAAGATATCTATTATGGAGATTCTTATTATGGAGATGATGGATATTATTATGTTTATGACCATAACACTAAAAGATATCATGTTGAAGATCCTCCTGAAGAGGATTATATTGATGAAAATCAACAATATGAAGAAATGAACCAAAACATCTATACGGAAGAAACAGTCCAAGAAGAAGAACAAAATGAACAACAAGATGACCAAGCTATAACTGAAACTAAACAACCAGAATTGATAGTAGAAGATATTCATGGAGAACCTACTTATGAAGAAACTCCTTCACAAAACCCAGAGATTGAAGAAAATATTGAAACAGAAGAACAACCAAAAGAAGAAGTTTACTCAGAGGCACAACAAGAAGTAGAAGATTATCAAGAAGCTCTTCAAGAAGTAACTGAACAAGAAGCTCAAGAAATAGTAAAGGAAGAAGTTATTTCAAACCCAGTTACAGAAGAATTAGCTCAAGAAAATGTTATTGAAGAACAAACTCAGGAAATCAAAGACGAACAAATTCAAGAAGAAATTGAAGAAAATATTGCAGAGCCTATTAAAGAAGAAACAAAAGATAGTACTCCAGAAGAACTAACTCAAGAAAAAGTTGAAGAGACAGCTAAAGAAGAAATTCAAGAAATTGTTACAGAAGAACCAATTAAAGAAGAAGAAATTAAAGAGAATGTAGAAGAAGATGAATTTGCAGTATCAACAATTGATGAGGCTGTTGTATCACAACCATCAAAAACTATTGATGATTTATGTGAAGAAGCTTCAGTTCAACCAAGTGTAGCAAGAAGACCAGGAAGAGGACGTGGAGGAAGAAAACCACCAACAAAGAAACTAATTGAACGTCAAAAGAAAATGAGGACTGAAACAAATGAAAAAGATGAAAAGAACAATACCTTTAAAATGGAAAAGGTTGACTCCAAAGAAAATAATTCCAATAACATTATTCCACCAAGAAAAACACTGGGTGTTGGTATGGGAGGAATGGGAATGCCTCAAGTCACTTTAGCTGATTTACAGAAAAGAAAACAAGCCAAACCATCTCTTGAACAAAAATCACCTCATAAGCAACCAACAAAAAAGAAAGAAGATGAAAAAGAAAATAAGAGTGGATTATTTGGAATGTTAAAAGATAAAAAAGAAGATAAAAAGAAGAAAGAAGAAAAAAAGGAAGAAAAGAAAGGATTATTCTCTTCTTCTTCACATAAAGATAAAAAAGATGAATCCAGTTCTTCAATAAAACAAAAGAAAGAACAAAAAGAAGAAGTCCCACCACCTGTTCCTTCTAAAAAGTATAACTCTAAACCATCAGCCACTAGTCCTTCTTTACCTGCTAAATCATTACATTCAAGTAGTGGTGCAAAAACAATAGAAAAACCAAAAGAAAATATGTCAGACTCAAGCCATAACAATACTTTACCTTTCCAGGTTAAATTAAGAAGTAGCGCAGGTTCTAAAACTGCTATAAAGCCTGAAGTTCAAAGTGATCAACAACCCAATACCTCTCCATTTGCAGTTAAGCTAAGGTCTAGTGGTGGTAAACCTAGTAATGTTACAGAACCTCCACCAAAAGAAGAAGAATCTGAATTGCAAAAGAAATTAAAATCAAGGAGGGCGAATTGAATTTCATTCTTTTTAGATATATTTTTTTTTTTAATTTATTACAAAATTTAAGAAAAATAAAAGAGAAAGAAAAAATCATTAGAAAATAATAAAAAAAACCCTTTAAAATAAAGGAAAAAATTCTGAAAAAATCAGTTAAAGAAGAATGTTAAGAGAACGACATACATCAAGAAAACATAGTTCATACAAAACTGTTCATATGACAAATGAAGATCGATTAGTTCGGTTATGCCATTATGGTCTTGAATACACATCCGATTCAAATGCATCAACAGCTTGGATTATAAAAAATATTACATTAGAAAGTAATATTGAAAGTATTAGATCGTATGCCAAACAATTACCAACAGACATAACAACAGAAGAACAAGAAGAGAGTTATGCAAGAAAGTTTATAGAATGTTCTAAATTATTATCAACAAAGCAAGGAATATATGCATATTTATTGTTTTTATTAACAAAAATAGAGCCATTAAAAAAATTATCAAATAAAATAATAAATAAAATAATAACAGAAATCAAAATATTAAGTGAAGAAGAAACTGATGTTATTGAATTTAAAAATATAATAAAATTTATATGTGAATGTTATAATATGAAAATATTTGAAGAAGAGTTTATAGAATCTATTTATAGAGTATTAATAAAAAATCTTGAAGGAAATGAAAGGACATATGATAAAGATCAGATTGCACATGTTATTTGTGGGAGTTGTATTGTATTAAAAAACAAAAATTTATGTAATTCAATAATGGAAAAAGTATATCTATATATTCAGTTAAATAAAAATGAGAAAACATATGTAATAAAAAAAATATTTAATTATAATGACTTCTTAAAAATATATTTAGATGAATGGAAAAAAGATACTGAAGGAAAGTATAATGAAATTTTATTTGATTATTCAAAATATGAAAAATTAAATGAAGAACCAGAAAAATATACAATTTTATTAAATGAAAAAATTAAATTAAAACCAATGTACATCTCATTTGAAGAAATTATTCCATCAATAATGGAAAATAATTTTAGTAAAATGCTAACAATTGAATTTATGAATGATGTAATTCAAACATTTTATAATGATCCATCATTATTATTAATGTATGTTCAATTAATTTCAATTCAACAAATTGATTTTACATTATTAAGTAATATTCTTTTTGTTCAATATTTATTAGGAATAGTACCAAATTGGAGAGTATTAAATTCAACATTTAGTAGAATGTTGTTATTTATTGAAACAACATTTGCACCAGTAACACAAATTGAAATGAAATTATTTGAAAAAATAGAAGAATTACCAGTAACAACGATAAATAGATTTGCACATTATTTATCAAATAAATATATTTCAATGAATTTTAGATTTACTGAACCATTATGGAAAAAATATGAAAATAAAATAAAAGAAGGAATAATGAGTCAATATTTCTTTACAATTTTTTTCAATGATTTAACAATTTATGGAACAAGAGAAATTGAAAGTGATATGATTTCAACGAATTTAAGAAAGTATCTTAATATTAAAGGTCAAAATGAAATTAATATTGATAATATTGATAGGTCTTTATTTGAAACTTTAATTGATGAAATGAAAAATAAAACTTTAATTAGTGATATTAATTCTAAATTATCTAGTACTTTTGGTGATATTGATATTTCTAATGAATTACTTGCTAAAGTAATATTAAGTAATTTTACTGATACTGTATCTTCATTTGATATTTGTATTCAAACTTATAAACAAAGTATTAAAGATTTAATGAATTCAAAAGATGCAATATTTATTTGGTTAAATTTATTATATGAAATGAATTTAAATATTCCTTTAGAATCAATTATAATGATTAAACGTTTAATTTATTTTGAAATTATTTCTAAAGAAATTGTTATTGAATGGATTTTAACTAAAATTGGTAATATTTTTAATGACGGTATTCATTATATCGAATTTTTAGTTGAATTAGTTTCCTCTATTCCAAATAATTCTTCTTTGATTAATCAGTGTTCTTCTATTTTTGAAATTGAAGCTAAAAAATATTCTAATCAATTTGAACAACGTATTCTTTATGAAAATTTAACTTATTTCATTGAAGAAATTGAACTTTAAATTGAATGATTTTAAATTAATCAATTTCGATAATTTCATCTTTTTCTTTTATTTCTTTTGTTAAATCAATTATTGAATATTTATCGTTTAATTCTTCTTTAATTTCTTTTATTCTTTTTAATACAATTTCATCAAGTGTTTTGTTATATATTTCAATAAAATCTTTTAATCTTTTTTCTAATACTTCTTTATATAAATAATTATTTGTTTCTACTCTTCTTGATGGTTTTTTTATTCTATCCTCTGAACATTTAATTGTTTCTGGTGTTTTTGGTAATTTTGAATTGATGTCTTCTTCAGAAAGTGATAAGTCAATTTCAATTTCATTACTTGGTAATAATTCTGTTATTGATGTTTCTGGGTCTATACCCATACAACCTTTTTTAAATAATGGAATAGTTTTTTCTTTTTCATTTAAAAATGGTTGTTGAATAGATAACTGAAGAGATTTACAATTATTTATTTGTGGAATAAATATTTGAGGTGATATTTGATTTTGTTGAATATTAGTTTTAGTAATAGAAGTATCTGTTTGTTGTTTTTGAGGAATTGATTCATTAAGATGATTAGATAAATCATGAGATATAGAAAGAGGACTAAATGGTCCATGAGAAGAAGAAAGTTTCATAGTACTTTGATTAGGAACAATGGACTGATTTTGCTGGTTAATTTGTGTTAGAATAGGATGAGGAATAATAGTGGGATGACAACTTTTTAATTCATTTGAAGGAGGAATATTTTGATGAAGTAAAGATTTAAATTTAATGAATTGTTTTTTTAATAAACAAAAACTAATTCCATCAACAGACCATTTATGATAAAGATTATGAATTTGATAATATTTCTCGAGATAGAGATTACTCAAAAGAAAGTCTTCCATGGGAATAAATTCTCTAGCAATATTTGATAAAGAAGGATAAGTGTTTCTTTTTTCTTTCCACCATAAAGTCCAACTTTTAAAAGGGTCATTATCATGAATATATAAATCAACTTCATTTTTATCTAAATCATATTCTTTAATAATATTATCAAAGGCTTTTGAGAAATTAATTTTCAGCCAATGGTGATGTTCAGGATGAAAAAATAACGCTTTATTAATCCAAGTAATATTATTTGATAATAACTGATGTCTAATATTATTTCTTAACAATCCAGCTTTTTTTTCAAACTGATTACAATTAGTTAATTTACTAACATGAAATAAATCTCCTTCAACACTTTTTAATAAAGAAATATAATTAAAGAAATCATCTACATTATCAGTTAGATTTGTTTCAGTAATATCAGTAAAATCTAATTGTTTTAAATTAATTCTTAATTTTTGTTTTAAAATGTTTTGATACATAGAATACCACGTAATTATTACTTCTCCTTTTGATTTATCTTTTGTTATTGGATATTTTTCTAAATTTTGTTGATCAACAACTAAAACTGATTGATTTTCTTGTGGAATTTTAAATTTTTTTAAAACACTTTTCATTACTTGAATTGGGTCATCTGTACATCTATAAAATCCAAGAAAATATCTATGTTTATCAAACTTGTTATCAACATAACTTATTGACGCACTTATAAAACTTTCTGTTTGTGTTATGATATATGTAAATTTATTCTTCTCTTTGTCTTCTCTTTTTACCTTTTGAATACTTGAAAACATTTCTTTTCTCATTTCTTCTGTTAACTTGTGTGTTGGTGTTTCAACAAATTCTTTGTAATATCTTTCTATTTCACTGTAATCAATTTTTTTCATTATGATTATTATGAAATTATTGAGTTATTTCTCCTTTTATTTCTAAAAATCATAACACTTAAAGTAATTTGAAAAAAAAAATGATTTTAAAAAATATAAATTATAGTTTAATAATTATTAAAATATGCTTTAAATATTGTTAATCATTATGATCTGGATAAAATAAATCCCAATCAATAAAAAGATTATCTGGATGATAATTTTCATTCACAAGAGTATTATATTCATTCGAACTAAAATACATTTTAAGCTCTTCACTCATTGGTGATATTTGTTCCATTTTTAACCATTCAAATCGTTCTCCATTGTCTTTTCGTTTTAAACAATTCGATGTTAATGCCCAAACGACTTCTGCAAAACCTTTTTCTTTAATATCATTTTTTACTGCTTCATTGATTGATAAAAATATTCCCTCATAGGCAGGATTTAAAAATTTAAATGGTGGATTTAAACGAAGGTATTGAAGAGCATTATGCCATTGTTCTGGAGTATTAGAAATACCATCACGATGAGATTGGTTAGCATAATGCTGAACACAATAGTGTATCTCTCTTGTTAACCCAAGCCCAGTATGTAATTGAGAAGGTAACAACATTTTATTTTCACAGTAATGACGATAATCTTGTACTCGAAGCCATTCAACAATGGTAACATTAAGGTTTGGATGTTTAAAATAATTTTTGATAAATTCGTTTCCTTTAACTAATTGCTCTCTAAATGTTGAATTACAAAATGACTTAGAAGACCAAATAAATAATGTGTGGTCACAACGAATGAATAACTGAATTAACAAGTGTTGCATATCAATATTTTCATTATATACTTGACACTATCGATAAATTACTCTTACTTTATTTTAAGATTTAAAAATTATAATTATGATAAATGATAAGATTGAATCACAAACTCTATGAATATAATAGTCTTCTGTATCAAAAACAATTTTTAAATTATTGAAACCTTTCTCTTTAAATATCTCTTTGAAAGATTTACCACAAAAAGTAGATTCTGGTCCAAAACGATAATCTAACAATTCATCTATTTAGTTTGTATCTTTTATATTATTTTCCAAATTATGAATAAAAATAAACAAACGTTGTAATTGAATTTCATTGAATTTGCCTAAAAATCCATCTGCACAGACTTTGTTTGAAATTAATTCATTGTCTTCATCTTCAAAAAATACAGACAGTTGTTTATTTACTTTCTTTAGTTGTTGTTGAGGAAAAAAAATAGACTCTAACAAATCACATAAATAATCAAAGTATCTCACTGCACATCCGTCCTCTGTTGTTGGTTCTTCTTTTATTAAATATGACACCTCTTCGTTCATTTAAAATTTTAGTTCTCCAGAGATGGAATTCTTTCAAATTTTTACTGGAAAAGAAACTAATCTATTTTTGACACGTCCTTTCAAGTTAAGTTTCATAACTACTTTTTAGTTTTTATTTTTTTTTATTAACGAACATTCTTTAAAATAATTATAAATTAAGATGTTGAATAATAGAATAAAGAAAAAATAAAAAATTACAAAACAAAAAAATACTTTTATAAATAGAACAAAAAGAAATAAAACAAAGATATCAATTGATACAAAAAATTTATTTTATGAACAAATTAATTAGAAGATTTAAATTAAGAATGAAACTGAATCACCAAATCAGTTTACAACAAGACATGATTGTCTACAAAGAATTTAGATAAAGAAACATCAATCTTATTGAAAATATCATCGACACTACCTTCTCCAGAGATTCTAAGCAATTTATTTTCATTTTCAAAAGATTCAATAACAGGGAGTGTTTCTAACTTATAAGTTCTAAACCTTTTCATTAATGAATCATCGTTGTCATCAACTCTTCCACTATTAACAGATCTTTTATGAATTCTATTAATCATTGTTTCTTCAGAAACATCAATAAACACACAAAGAGCAGTGTCAATATTAACTTTATTCGCTTGTAAGAACCATGCCTCTTTATTTTCAGCATTTCTAGGAAATCCATCAATAATAAAAACTTTATGTTCATCATTACGAATAGCATTAAGTAATAATTCAACTGTAACAGCTGCAGGAACTATTTTTCCTTCTTTGATTAGTGTTTGAATTAATTGTCCATTTTGAGAACCTTCTCGTTTAACCTCCGCTCTTAACAAATCACCTGCACTTAAATGAGTAATTGGATATTTATTTACAATTTTTTGACATTGTGTTCCTTTTCCAGCTCCTGGTCCACCTAGACAGAATAAAACATGTTTATCACTTAACGACATCTCTTTTTCTTTTTTATGTTCCATTCAACCCTACGCTATTTATACTTCACTATGTTAAAAAGTTTTGAGTTTTTTGTTAATCCTTTTTCTTTCTCTTCTCTTCTTTTTTTTTAAATACTTTTCATTAATTATGTTATATATAACGATAATCTTTAAATTTAAAGATTATCTAACTTTTCATTTTTCTCTTGAAATCAGGAATGAGTGATATTGAATTTAGTTCTGAGCAAAAGAAAGTTATATTACAAATTGCACGAGAAAGTGGAAAAAATGAAATTATGAGAACAAAACAACAAGACTATAGTTCTATTGGAAATAAAACTGGACTATCATTTGTTCCTGGTGGTGTTTTTGTTACTTACAAAATTAAAGGTGAGTTAAGAGGATGTATTGGTTGTTTTAGTCCATCACAACCACTTTATGAATTAGTTCAACAATACGCTATTGCTTCATGTAATGATCGTAGATTTAATAGAATGAAAATTAATGAATTTGACCAAACAACAATTAGTGTTAGTTGTTTGTCTGTACCAAAAGATATAACAAATCCGTTACAAAGTGTTATTGCTGGAAAACATGGAATTGTCGTTGAAAAAGGATATTGTCGTGGTACTTATCTTCCACAAGTAGCAACTGAACAAGGATGGGATACTAAAACATTTTGTAGTCATTGTGCCTATTCAAAGGCTGGCATTAGTCGTTCTGTTGATGTATTTAATGACCCAACAGTTCATTGGCAAACATACACTGCATCAATTGTATCAGAATAACCAAAATTTATTTTTGTTAGATTATTTTAAGTTATATATAACACAATTATTAAAAAATTAAAATAAAGAATTAAAATAAAAAAAAACAATAAAAAGAACTAAAACATAAAAATAAAAGGTGGTATGGCTTGTGAGAAAGATGTAACATTTCAACATAAAATCATTGTAATTCCTGGAGATGGTATTGGTGTTGAAGTGATGAGTGAAGCAGAAAAAATGTTTCAATCTCTTAACCTTCCTATTCAAAGAGATTATGTAGATTGGGGAATTCAGCATTACTTAAAAACAGGAAAAGTAGTTCCAATAGATTATATTGATCAAGTCAAACAATATGATGCTATCTTATTAGGGTCATTAGGAGATCCAAGAACATTACCTGATTATGTTACTCTTGAGCCATTAATTCAAATGAGACAACAATTAGATCAATTTTTATGTCTTCGTCCAGCAAAACATTTTCCAGGAATTCCAACACCTTTAAAAAAATGTGAAATCGATATTTTAGTTGTAAGAGAAAATTCTGAAGGAGAATACTCCAATATTGGTGGAATATTTAAAAGTGGAACTCCTGATGAATTTGCAATTGAAAGTGCTGTTCATACAAGAAGAGGATTAGAAAGAGTAATACGATATGCCTTTGAAGCATCTAGAAAACGAAGGAATCATGTAACATTAGCTACTAAATCAAATGCGATGAAATATGGAATGGTATTATGGGATAGTGTATTTGAAGCAATTGCAATGGAATATCCTGATGTTACAGCAGAAAAATATTATATGGATGCTTTAAGTGCTGAAATAGTAAAGAATCCAAGTAAATTTGATGTTATTGTTGGAAGTAATTTATTTTGTGATATTATTAGTGACTTAACTGTAACTGTTGCTGGCTCAATGGGAATTGCTCCTAGTGCAAATATTAACCCAGAACGTACATTCCCTTCATTATTTGAACCTGTTCATGGAAGTGCATTAGATATTGCTGGTAAAGGAATTTGTGATCCAATTGGAACTATGAGAGCAAGTTCAATGATGTTAGAATTTCTTGGTTATAGTGAGGAAAGTGTATTAATTGAAGAGGCTATTCAATCTAGTATCTTACAAAAAATTACTACTATTGATATTGGTGGAACAAAAACTACTAACGAAGTTGGGAATTTTATTGCTGATTATATTCGTTCAAAAAAATCATCAACTTCTTCTTCAATGACAAGATCTAGTAAACAACGAAAACAATGAATGATTGTAATAATTAATTTTAAAATTTTTATTATTTCTTTTTTTATGTTTTTTTCTTCTTGTTTTATACACTATTTCTCCTAAATTATAACACAAAATAGGTAAATTATTAATGTTTTCTATAACCACCTCTTGATCCTCCACTTGTAAATGAAGCAACTGAACTAGAACCTCCATTAGTTCTTGGTCCTCTGTTAGAAAATGAGGCTCCTGAATTAGAATATCCATTACCTCTTTTTTGTGTGAATGATGGAACTGAAGAATTTCCACTAGGTCTTTGTTGATGCACCGAATTATTATAACCACTACCACCAGTTCTTGGATAATTATCTGAAGAACCACCAACTCTTTGTTGTGGACTTCTTGAATGACTTCCTGTAAACGAAGCAACACCAGAATTAGAATGTTTTTGATCTTTTTTAGATGGTATCCATCCTTCTTCATCTTCTTTTTGTCTCTGTGAAAATGATGGTCTATAGACTTCGCTAGATGATTGTTGTTTTTCAATTCTTTCTTGATTTCTTTTAAATGCCTCTTCTTCTTTTCTCTTCTTTTCTTCTTCAAGTCTTCTTTGTTCTTCAAGTAATTTAGCCTTTCTTTCTGCTTCAGCTTTTTCACGAGCAATTCTTTCTGCTTCTTCTTTTTCTTTTCTTGCTTTTTCAATTTTAGCCATCTTTTCTTCTTCACTCTCTCCTTTTCCAATTGACTCTAACCAACTTTGAAGTGCATTTGGATTAGTGAATTTCTTTTTCATAGCAACTTTTCTTTCATGCTCAGCTCTTTTCATTTCTTGTTTAGATTCACAAACTAATCTATACATCTCTCTTATTTCTTCTGCCTCTTCTTCAACTTTTCTATCAGTAAAGTTTCTTTCAACCATTCTTCGTGCTCTTTCATGATAGAAATATCTTTCAAATAAATTCTTCATTTGTTTATCTTTTTCTTCTTTAATTCTAACCTTTTCTTGAATTCTATACAATTTTTGCATCTCAGCAGCAGAGTCTGCTTTAATTTTTCTCATTTCTTCTTTCTTTCTTGCTTTTTCTTCTTCTTCTTCTCTTTTCTTTCTCTCTAAATATTCTCTTTCAAGTCTTGCATCTTCTTCTTCTTCTCTTCTCCTTGCTTCTTCCTCTAATCTTTTCTTTTCTCGTTGATATTCAATAGCAGCTATTTTTTCGTTGAATGCTTTTGTTTTGTTTTTAATTATTGTCTTTTCAGCTTCAATTGTCCCAGTTGTGAATTCACATCCTTCTATCTTCTTATCTTCTACTTTTTCAATAAAGATCTTTCCACTTGAAAGGTCAATCTTAACTTTAAATTCTAAATCACTTGCTCTTTTTAAGAGTGTAATCTCAACAATAAACCATGGAACAAAATCAAGCATTTTTTTAATATCAACAAGACTAATACTCTTTTTTTCAGCAAGAATTTGGAATGTACGAACAATAACAGCTTCTTTTATATAACTCTTTGTACATTTTTCATTTACATCTTTGATTTCTCTATAACATGTAATTAATTCCTCAGCACTAGATCCTATAAATGCATTGTAAAAATCAATTACAGGTTCATCTGCTGTTTTTAAAATATCAGTAGCCTTCATGTATGATTGTAACTCTTCAAATTGAAGACCCATTGGGAATCTAAGGGCTTTTGACAACACAAAATCTTTCATTGTAAAGACTTTTCTAGTAACAACAAATAAAGAGCACAATGAAATTAACACTGAATTTGCTTTTTGTGCTGTGGGTTCAAGCTTAAAAGACTCAATTGAAGCGAAAATTTCATAAGAAGGAACATTACAATCAGCAAGAAATTCAGAGATTGAGTTAAAGTATTTCAATAAACTTTCGTTATCATTAGTGACACCTGAAATAACTTTTTTTTGACTGTTCAGAAGTGATGTAAATGATGGTGGGAGTGACATATTGTTTATAAACTTTAAATTTTTTATTTCTTCTTTTAATTTTTTAAAAATAAAAAACCCTGAATATAGTTTATTTAATAATAAAAATATTCTTAAAATAATTAAAATAAAAAACAAAAAAAAAACTATTTTATTCATTCTGTTGTAAACCTACATTATTAATTGATAATAATGTCAAATACATCAGTAGAGTAAACACAGAAATAATAAAAAAGAAGACTATTGATATACTCTTCTTTTACTGTTTATTTTATTATTTCAATATTTTATGGATACTTTGTTTTTTTTATTATTTACTTCTTTTATTTTTTTGCTATTTATGGTTCAGTCAGTCTATATAAAATATCATGTAGTAGTTTTAAAGAAATTTCTTTCTTCTTTATTCTCTTATCTTAATACAATATTTATGACTATTTGTTTAAAGGTCCATGAAAAGTCAATGTCTTAATAATCTTATTAAAACAAAAATAAAATGACTGCAAGAAAAATAGAATGTCCTTATAAAAATGTCTCTATGTTTGTTATAAGAAATGAAGAAAATATTAAAAATCCTTTTGAATGTGAAAATGTTAAAGAAATTATTAATGGGACAATTACGAGTAAATATAACTTTTTAGTCCAAACACGTAATAATGAAAATTGGACTGTTTTAAAACGCCTTCATTGCAAATGTGATATTTGTGCCAGTGAAAGAGATGATCCCAAAACGATTATTGTTTTTAAGTGTAACGAAAATGCATTAAAAGATAGTAGATATTCACAAACATATGGGGTTATATTGAGACATCACTCCACAGAAGAGGGTTTTGTTGGAGATGAAGAACGTCGTGAAATAGCGAAAATACATCAAAGAAAGATTGACGAGTTATACAACGAAAAAGAAAGAAAAATTGCTGAATATGTAAAAAAAATTGAAGAAAGATATGAGTTTGATAAAGAAGTTATTGAAGAAGAAGAAAAAGATATGTTATGTGCATACTCTGCAGAGGAGACATTTGTTGAACAACAAGAAGAAGAAAGTTACTTTAATTTGGATGTAGAAAATCCATTTGGAGAGGTTCCAATAAAAGAAGATGGAGTTGTTATACGTACTAGTGCAAAACAATCTATTGACAAAAGAACACCAAGAAGATTAAGTAGTCACATCATAGATATAAAAAAAACAACAGACAAGGTAGGATTCATTGACTTAATGGATTTAACTCAAAAGCTGATTCAATTAGAATTTCAAGAAGTCTAACAACTGAAGGTAAAGAGGAAGAAGAAGAAGGAGATTCAAATGATAATTTTCCAAATACATTCCAAGAATATGTTTGTTGTTATTATTTAATTTATTTAATCGTTGTATTAAAACTCATTGAAAGAAAATTATATTTATCCTTATAGACATTAACAAGAAAAGAAACAAATGAAGTTCCAATGTCTAGTTCTCATATGAGTTGCAAGAGTTATAAATTATTATTTTAACTTCTATAAAAATTAGTTCATTACTCAAGATTATTTTAACTGTGTATTTCTTTCTTTCATTTTATTTTTTAATTTTAAACCAAAAATTATTCAAAAAATAAAAAACCATAAAAAACATTTTAAAGGTACTTTTAGAAGACATTCCATTTAGTTAACTTTTGGAAGTGGACCTTTTGTTGTAGCTAATTTGAAGTAACATCCATCAGCAATAATCTTTCCATCTTTCTTAAGTTGTTGATATTCTTCTTTAGTGTATTTAGTGAATCCCCATTTGTTAGAAATAACAAGTTTTTGTCTTCCTGCAAATTTGTAACATGCAAGTCTGAATGATTTAATCATTGCTGGGAGATGTTGTTCTTTACATCTTCCTGAAATAAGAACTTGTCCAACTTTAACACGAGCACATGATCCATATGATTTACCCCATGCTCCTCTCATACCAGTTTGAAGTCTATCAGCTCCAGCACATGAAAGCATTTTATTAATTCTAAGGACATGGAATGGATGAATTCTAATTCTAACATGGAATCCATCTTTACCTGCATATTTAAGCATATTCTTATTAATTGAAATACGTGCTGCTTCCATAGCTTCTGATGAAATATTTTCTCTTTCAGTCCTACATGTGTACACACATGGGAAATCATCACATGGTGCACTTCTGT